AAAAAAAAAAAAAAAGAAAAACAGATCCACTAGAACAATGAAACTATACTCACCACGCTAACATTATGATTAAAACGAGAAAATCACAGAGTAGAGTGAAAATGCATGTTCTTGGTTCTATCTTTCTTGTTCGTCAAGCATTTTCTCGACCTTTTCATTTCCTCTTTCATAAACGACTCACTGTTTTTAAAAGTCTGTATTCAATATTTGAATATTACAGTTTTATCATTAAAATATATAAGTTATGTTGGCGTCATATCACTTGTGGTCTTGTGTGTTCTAGGTTGGAAGCCTACGTTGACTTGACTTGATAGCTTCTAAAGTTAATGCATTAGCGACCCGCACCAGCTACTAGTGCACCATAATTCTCTATCGGTTAGCTTTTGAAGTTTAGACTAGTGCTCTATCAGTTAGCTTTTGAAGTTAATGCCATTAGCGACCCGCACCAGCTACTAGTGCACCATAATTCTCTATCAGTTGGGGCACTCTATATCACGAGCTATTAACTTGTCCACGATCATGTCGAGGACACGTTTCATCATTTTGTCATCAGACCTAACGGAATATATATAATAAAGCGTGTGTTGGGGATTAGTAAAGAATGATAGTTGAAAGAGAAGTGTGTGTGTGTTTCTGTTTCTTTGATTGCAAATTAATAAAACATCGGTCCAATCGGCTATTAGCAGTGGCTTGCTGCTGCAAACGCTGTGGCCTTTGAGCTAGTTGAATTTTGAAATTTAAGTGGAGCATAGAGAATTAGAAGATTATGATCGAGTGAGAAAGTAATTTAGCATACATAGAACAAAGTCTGATCTTCCTTCCACTATATATACTCTCCCTCAATCATCATCAAATCAAAAGAGTAGAGCTAGTAATAATATTAATTTAGTTGGAGATGGTGAATAAGTGGATGGGATCAAATGCACGACATTTGGTGTGGACGAGGGGGAAAACAATATCAATGCGTTCCCCAGGCAAGATGCTGTTGCTGAGTTCCTCCCCATCCTCTCTATAGCGGGCAACATCACAATGGTGGAGAGCCATTACAAGTTTAGGTTCCCGGGTTCTTCTCCTTATCCCTGTCCTCAAAGTGCAAAACGTGTACTTTCCCCCCACCTTATTATTATTATTATTGCCATCGAGAAGCCACACAGAATCAGGAGCCGACAGGCGGAAATCGGGTGCCAATGGCCCCAGCACAAGGTTGACCAAAGATGATTCTTGTTCATCTCTTCTCCTCCTCCTCCTCCTCCTCCTCAGATCATAAATGTGATGGGGCGTCACGAACAGCGTTTCCTCAATCACATGAAAACGGTCGAAGCTCTGCCGCCTGAGAACCGAGTGGGCCCCAAAATAGTTGTCCAGCCTCTGCCAGCCCCTAGCAATAGTGTCGAGATGGAGACAGAAGATGGTTCTTTTGCTGCTGTTTGAGTTTCCCTCGGCCGTCTGTATGAAGAAAGTAGTGTCATCCACAAAAGCATACTTGGTGATGTGGGCCAAGCAATGGTCCACACCAAAGCAATAATCGTCTTGGATTCCCGGGAGCAGAAGCCAGGTGTCAGTTGAGGGATCGTAGAGCTCGAAACTGGTGCCTCCGGCTAACCCTGTGCCTCGGTCGAATTCGATGAGTCTGGAGAAGACGAGGATCTTTGTGGCATCGGGTGTGGGGATGGCGTTGGGGATCCGCTTTGGGTGGCGCATGCAGCTCACGAGGGTGAGGTCAGCAATCCCAAACTCCACGGTGGGCAGCCCAGAGGCGAGGTGCGGGGACAGGTCAAGCATGTATGCTGACGTGGAGGGTGTCATGTCAAACAGATAGAGAGTGGAAGCCAGACCACAGAAAGCAAAGCCATCATAAGTGGACATGCCGGTTTTGAGGCGGAGGGCAGGCCTGATAGTGATAGTGTTGGACGACGACGACGACGATGATGATGATGTTGGTGCAATTACAATGTCGTAGCCGTGGGATGTTGCATCGGCGAACTTGCACACGATGCAGACTTGGGGATCTGATAGTAGTTTGTATTGGGGCTCTGGCGGCTCCTCGTAGTCAATATCGGATTCAGATGAGTAGTAACCCCCCATCATCATCTGATTGTTGATTTTAGACTTGAACAACGGTAGAGCTGCCTTCTCCTGAATCGGAAAGAGTAGAAACATTCATTCCTTACAGCAGAGAGAGTATATATATATTTTATTATATGAATGAATGAAAGGATTCCAACATATTATAACCTATTCTAATCACAAGTGAGTTAGGAAAAACAGGCCTTTTACTTACCTTGCTTATCAGGTACTTATAAAACATTATTTCTTACCATCCTTCATGCCTGCCTGTCTGCCTCATCTTATTTTCTCTCTCTCTCTCTCTCGCCAAAACAAGAGTTGAGGCGCCTCGAAAAACTTCTTTGGATCTCAAATTGCACCGTCTGTCTTGGCACACCTAGTTAGAGCATCTTCAATAGTACATGGATTGTTCTCTTTCCATTGCCACATAACCTCCAAAATCCAACGTGGCCTTCAATAAATCTAGAAGTCTTTCTAGATGTAGAAAGACTTCTAGACATCTTCCATTTAATATTCTATTATTTATTTTATATTTATGTTTCTACCAACAAATTATTATATTACATGTGTCAAATTATCTCCCAATTAAGATTAACCATTGGAGACAAAATATTTTCTTTTCCTTTTTCCACATCATACATCTCAAAATACACATCGACCCATTGGAGATGCTCTTAGGTGTGCAGGGCAATAATAAAATGAACATGTTCATTTTAAATGAACATGTTCATTTTATTATGTAACATGTAATTAACATGTTCATTTTATTATGTAACATGTTCATTTAATTATTGCTCTGGCACACCTAGCTAGGTGTGCAAGGGCACACCCAAGTATTTGCCCTCAAATTGGGGGCTCCTCTTCTAATCTAGAGCTTTTTTTTATATTAGATGGATAATATATATTACAATTATTATTATTATTAATACTAGTACGGTACTCGTGCGATACACAGGAGCATTTATTACCTATTTATTTTTCAAAACGTATTTTTGTATTTAAATTGTCTCACGCCATTAAAAATTTCATGAAAATCAAATTTATATGTTATTAAACACTTCCTTTGTACAATATTAATGATTTGATTCTTTGGCACGTAAAGTACTACATAAGTGTTCGAATTTATCCAAAGTTGCATATTATTAGTTATTAGTTAACAAATTTTTAAAAAATATAAGGATCTTATTTATTAAACAAAATTAAAGTAAAAAAAAAGTAAAATTTTTAGGGATTTTCACCCATTATTTTTTAAATCTAATTCTATATTTCAATTAAGAAAAATTGAAAAGAAACATTAGTTACTCCGAAATAAAACTGATTTTCCTACTGATATAAAATATTATACTAGACCGGGTTAACGGATAAAACGAATGCATATTGGAGGATAAGCCCACGTATGGACTAAGGCATATAGCATAACAATATGGGTCAAACCCAACTTGAGCCCAAAAGGTACACTCCCCTTATAAAAGGGGGCTAAGGTATTTCATTCTCTCATCTTCTCTTCATTCATTACTACATTCTCTCTCTCCTGATTTGGGTACTGACTTAGGCATCGGAGGCTCGACGCCGGGACCCCTCCCGGCGTTGGGTTCTGCAGATATGGAGGTCGTTCGAGTTGAAGGAGCCCGGGTGAAATCTATTTCACTATTATTAGCGTCGTCTGTGGGACTCGTTCAAAAAGTCAAACGGAGTTCCAACCGAAAAAGTTCGAAAATTTTCCAGCAAACCTCCTTCTTCTCCACCGGCCCCTGCCAACGACGCCACAGTTGGCCGCCACCTCCATCGCCGGTCGCTGAAAAAAAAAAAAAAAAAACCCAATCAAAAAATCGTTTACTTCATCGGATAAATCTCCTCGAGGTGAATCTACCGTTAAAATTTCATGCAAAAATTCCTGCGGTACGGCTATCAATTTTGTGGTCAAAGGTTCCAGATCTAGAAAAAATTTAGTCAAAATCGGACATTCAAATGCATTTTCCCGAGGATCCGGAAGGGCTACGAAGAATCTGAGGGTACCACCGGAATCCTCTCGACGAGATGAATCTCCAGCTATCGATCTTCACCGGAAACGGCCATCATCGCCGCTGGCCGCCGCCATATGTCATCCGATCTGAAAAACGTTTACATCATCGTGAAGCTCTCCTCATACTCATTCTACCCTTAAAATTTTGAGAAAAAATTCCACCGGGAAAGTTGTTGATTTACCGGTCAAAGTTTATGGATCTAGGATTTTTTGGGTCAACACTGGTCTCCTCATCCAATTTCCTGGCGATCTTAGACGATTCGCTTCAATTCGAGGGAACCATCCAATTCTCCTCGCCAAGGCGCATCCTCGGCTGGTCTTATTTTCCAATGACGGTGATATCTTTCCGACTAGCATATTTTCGGTCGTCATCCTCCAGCTCTACAACACGGGTGAAACCCGCGGCTCAGTCATCAGCCCGATGCAGGGGCAGCCCACCACCCCGACGCGCGAGGCCCAGCGCATTTCAGCAGCCCGCGTCCTTTCTACCTTAGAGGGCCACCGTGCGGCCCAT